CTGGGAAGTACTCTGCACATGGCGATTTTGGATCAACATCGGTAGGGATGGTGGATTGCCATGGGGTGATTCTCCTAGGGCAATGCCTGTTTCATCGCAAACGAAAAGGATCAGCACATGGCGTACACACGTTCTTCTTTTCTACACAACGAACCTGCTTGGCTGCTTCAACTTGAGAAGCACGCAAACTCAAAAAAATAATATGTATCCAATGAACACAAAATACACAAAAATACAGCAAATAACGCACAAACTAGTCTTAGTATGTCTTGGCATGTCCAGGAGTGTCCACTGCCAAACAAAGTTCGCATCAAACAGTCGCCAGGGGGGTGGCCAAAAAAGCAGCGATGCCTTTTTTTGGGCGGATGAAATGGTTGAAACATCAGGAAATATTGACGCAAACTTTGGACATCTTTTGAGTATGTCTATTTGGTACTGACCAGCTTGGAATGGGTGGATCTTGGGACCTTGGGACCCGGCCTCCGTGACCAAACCCGACCAGGACAGCCTACACAGGAAAGAAATTAGAGATACAATGGGGATTAACCATGTTCTACTATATATATATTATATATATACTATATATATATATATATTACTATAGGTAGATCATATTACGTTCACTAGATTTACTAGATATTGTTCACTAGATTCAATGGTTATCCAAACTGTTACTCGATACTATATATGAAACTACATGTTACTACTCTAACGGAGTGTATATGTTACTATATCAGTGGATATCGTGGTTGTTTTACTATTTCGTTATTTCACACCATCTGGATACGTGGCTAAGTTCACTGGAAATCCTTGGATGATATCGAACAAATCGTGGAACACGTAGCAAGGGTGCCATATTCCGACTTCAAAACCCAACACCGAAACATGACTGGACCAAGGCCAATTCTCTGAATATTTCATGTACCCAAAGCAAAAATCAACACCAGCATCTTTGGATATTTTTACAGTAGATATATTTAAGTAATATCAGAACAAGTCGTTGCTTTGTTTTCATTGGTGCTGCCCTTTGTTATCTTTGCTACCGGCACACGGACCCCAACGCAATTGGTGCTGTACAAGGCCCCCCCTTCGCCCACCTTCATCGCACCTGAGGTGCCATGGGACCAGCCAGGGCAGTCCCAACAGTTTGAACTGGCCATGAGGTGTGGTTGAACCATGCTGTACTATCTGTACAAGGTGGTGCCCCCAAGATAGCTAAGTTGGTGCAAATAACTCGAATAACTAGGGTTTATAGGTGATATCCCATTTATAAGTAGAGGGGGCACCACCTTGTACTGACTTTTTGGGGGACACTTATAACTCTGAAACTTGGGAAGTCACTCTTTTTCACCACATCGCTTGACTCTTGCACTAGGTTTGGGTACGACAAGATGCCACGGTTTTCAGGGGTTTTTCAAGGACCCAACCGGAGCTGAGTGTCAAGTCTCTGTGGATTCTGGTAGACAAACGTCTCCATTGAGAAAATGACTGTTTTTTTTTGTATAATGACATATAATGATATAGGCCAAAGGATGTAGACCCCGTGATCCCGTACTTTGATTTACCATGGACAAAACCATCCCCAGCAGAAACCCTGACATGGCGGAGGAAAGCGGAACCCTGAAGTTTGGCTTCCTCACATCCGGCGTCCCGGCGCCGCACCTCAAGTTATAGATAAGATTTCACGTCACCAGCAATTGTTGATATTGTTGTGAAACAACTACCTAAACAATCCAAGTCATCTTTTTGTAGCCAGAAAATAGGGGAAACGATCCCTTCCGAATTGCGGACTTTTACCACAATTGACCAACATAGAAAATTGAATCGATCTGAGGCTGAAATTGCATGAAAATTCAAACCAAAGGCCAAAAACCTAAGAGCCTCACGGGTCTTGGGAGCAATCTTCACCTCGGTGGTGCAGGAACTCAAGTAAATTTGTGTTTTTGGATGTTTTTGATACATGTGGATGCTGAGGGATCCGGAATCTTCACTGGCTTGTTTAATAATTAGTGTTTTTTTCTTGTATTCCACCGCGAGGGAAGTGTTCAAAACTCTGTCGTTCCTTGGTTGGTCAAGAACTAGATCCCCAGTTCATGGATTCTGTTCATCACCAATTACCATAAACGGTTGGTACAGACCCCGAACTAATCATCAACCAACAGAGGTGTCTTGCAGCCACAGCTTATTTGGTGTTACTTAGCAAAACGTCCGTTCAATCCCCTTAAACCCCATTAAAAACCAATTAACATTCCAATACAACTCCATTAAAATCTCATAAAATCCGATTCCCATGAACATCTTCACAATGATTGAGTTTCAAGGACAGCGTGGCACCTTTTTTTTCGCATTCCAAAAGCCACCGTGGCCTGGAAGCCGATCCACGGCAAAGCGACGACGCTCCAGGACCTGCAGGATGCCCAAGTAGGGGGAGCCTCGATGTCGCGTCGCGGAGAAAAACTGGGTCACTTCTGGTGAAGTTGGTGAAATGGTCAAAGAGTTGTTCATGTATACAATGAAATATATATATATATAAGTATATATATATAAGTATATATATATATATAAGTATATATATATATAAGTACCTAGGAACCCAAATGAATGTTTTTTTTGATCATACGGCCTCAACCATTTTTTTTGGTCATTACGGCTTACGGGTGTTTCCCAATTTGGGGGTTCAGCCATAATCACACACAATTGCTTCACCCCCTTTTTCTGTGCTTTGGACCATCAGCTTCAAGCGGGCCCGTCATCTCGGCGAAGCTTCTCTTCGTCGGCTGCTGAGTGTCAGGGTTCGGGCTGTTGACCCACGCTTTGTTTGCCATCACAAGATACCTTTGAAGTACTCTCAATCCAATTGCCCTGGGGGAAATGCGTCGGCTGACGCGACAGCATCTCCCCACAAAGTCCTGAAATGAGACATCCCCAGGGAACGGAAAATACAACAGTGATGACACATACTAGGATAGGACCACATAACGACCAACATATCAAAATTCAAATAAATTCAAACTAGACTCCTCATCAGCCTGCACTGACTCCGCTAGGATGTTCAGTGTCCATTTGTTTTGGGCTCCAGATACCAAACGACACCAGTGATGGTCCAACATGTGAAACTTAACATAGATCGGGAAGCGTGATTTTCGCTCAGTGAAGCACCTATAGGCAAGATTTGCATAGATACGTAACCACTTTCTTCCGTTGTTTCCAGCTGCAAGCGCTTCATTGGACGTCAGCCACAACCCAGACGAGTAACGAATTGAAAAAGTGTCGTTGGCCGCTTTGACAGCTTCAAGAATCATCAAAAAATACTCGTCCTCATTGAATTGATTAATCCTCCCTGTCAAGAACCATTCCACAAACCTGTGGTAGATATGCGTGTCAGCAAACTTTGACCAACCTCCTTCAGGTAAGACCTGGAAGCTTGTAAGGCCAATTCTCTCCGCAATAAATGGACCTGAATGAGGAAGGTTGCAACCCGGCCGTTTGGCCCACTGACGTAGGAGAACATCCAACTGGGAAATTTTGTCTTCCCTTGACCCCGGCAAAAGAAGCAAACATTCAGCCAGCACTGAAGCTATGAAAGTTTTACCTGCTCCTCCATGGTAGTTGTGCCAAACATCAGTCTTGAGATAGTCATGGGGACGATCGATACAATGAAACAATTGCAGCACTGAAGGTCGTGTAACCCAAGGATCAACTGTAGCAACCACAGACCATTGAGCATCTATGTTGAAATCTTCAAAAGGCCCCCCTGGCTTTGTGCCAGCCAAACACATCCAACAAACCCCAGGAGGAGATTTGTTTTCCTCTGACCTGTGCGCCCTTTGCCAATGCCTCGTCAGGTCTCCAACGGTCCTCAAAAACGGAAGATCCCCTTTCACACCTAAGCAAGCGATGTTCCATCTTTCCCCTGCGTAGGTAAACCCAATGTCTTGAAGTTTGAGGAGGTCATTGATCATCTTGTTGAGTACAGCCTGGAAATTCTCCTGAGTAAGGATAGGGGGCTGAGTGGGATTAAAATTAATGTCACAGGAAAGGACAACCAAAGGCAATCTAAGAGGATAGAAAATGAATAATATCATAGTCCCAGAATCTGGTTTCGCCTTGTAATGTTTCTTTGGCATTGCAACAAACAGCATTCGACTGTTGAAAGAGCTCCCTTGAAGGTTGATACCCATCTTGAGTTGACGAAGAGATCTAATTGGATGTCTTTTGAGGAAAGGTTTGCTGCCACGACCAATGGCCCCTTGTAGGCTCAATATCATGACACCCGATCGTTTGAATCCACGACCTTCATCACCATGAATGTAAACTGGAATTGTTCGTGATAGCGACAGCTTGTTTTCAGCAGCAGCTCGAAAGACTCCATAATCTGGCAATTCAAGGCTGTAACGTCGCCAAAACTCTAACAACATTGGTTGCACTTGTTCCATGGGTTGTTCCCCAAACAACTTGGACAAGTTGTTGGATTGAACCAAGTAGTCAATGGTGTCAAGCATACTGAGCACAGGGTAGCTATCACCACCATCCAAGTCAACCCAGGAAACCGGAATCTTCAACGCCAGGTTGTGCTTCTCAAACCTTGGTTGGGGCAGGGTTCAAAGTTAAAAAGTGCAAGTTGAAATGCAACCCAAAGCATCCCTAAAAAGAATAATTGCCGTAATTTTTATATGGGATCATATGGAGTCAGCTTCAGCTACGTCACAGTTTATGGCATTCGTCTTCTGCTCTCTTAGTTTGCACACTTGCAAGACGGGAAGTGATTGGGCAACTTGTAGATCCATAATGATCGACTGCGGCCTTGCTCATCTCAGCTACAGACTTGGCGGTGGCCTGGGCGATCAAAATCCAATCGTTGGGGGGACAATAAGCTAGAGATCTGAAAAGGGTCATGTGAAAGAGATCATGCGAAAGAGGTCATGTGAAAAAGATCATGCGAAAGAGATCATGTGAAAGGATTCATGTGAAAGAGATCTGGTGAAGGAGATCATGTGAGA